CCTTTAAAGCCTGTACACTGAGGACTTGAGAGTGCTCCTGAGTGTTTATTAGCAGTGATAAAATGCATTGACTAGTGATGGCTTGGCTTACTTATTTATACTTATTAATAATAATTCCTCATGTCTATGGGAAGAAGGACTAAAAATAGTAATCCATATACCAATTGCACATTGAATCCCCTCACTCTCTTTTTTTATATATAAGTAAGAGTTTAAATTGACCTATAATGGTGATAACATGAGTTAGTCATTCAAAGTCACAAAGAAAATAGAATCCTCTTACTTTTTGCTCTTGTTTAAGAAATGCACTCACATCAAAGCAATAATTGACATTATCTTTTGAGTGATGATTTTTTATGAGTCATAAGATGACTTAAATATATTTAATAAAGATTCATTACATTCTTAGCACTTTTAACTTCACTACTATGACAAAATGAACTGATGAAATTGGCTCTCCTTTGTATTTATTGTTGTGTAAAATTATTGGTTAAAAATAATATTTTAAACTTCTCTTGTATCTATAAGGTAAGTACGTAGAATTGCCTGTTTGGCAATTTATCTCAGTATAATGTTGATAAGTAATCATATGTTTAAGCCTAATGAGTGCATTTTGATATTTGGGAATAAATGCCTATTATAGTCCTTTTATATTACACGTCAAAGGGAAATATATATATATATATGTATATATATATATATATATATATATATATATATATATATATATTTAAAATGATTTAACGTGTAAGTATAGAAAGATAAAAGCCCAAGCACTCCAAAAACTTTTTAGGGATAATAGTCCTAATTTGCTTAGTGTATAATAGTAATTTTAAAGAACCCTTTAAGGCAAGTTCCATTAATTTCTCATTAACTTATTTCTAAAAATATTGAGATGGCTTATTATTTTCCATTCTGATCTGAGAGAGGCAGCACAGAACTGGGGAGCCATGCCAAGTGTCACTGCTTGGAAATGAATTGGGTAGATGACAGGCAACTCAGTGGCAGTCCCTTAGCAGGAGTTTCTCTGTTTAAAATGATTGTGGACAATAACTCTAGTGTGTCTATTCTGGCAATTGAGATGAGTGAATAATAAACAGCCAATAATACTGTTTCATAGATCCTAACATAAGACAGAGCACTCCCAATCCACCACTGCCAAATGTACAAAAATATTCCAGAGACAGACGTTCAAATTCAATGATACACGATTTCCCAGCATCTCCACAATGCCTAGGGGAATTGGACTTCTAAAAGCAGAGTTGTATCGATAATTTAGTTAGTAAAAATGTTTTCTATCAAATTTCTGAAAATTAATAACTTCTGATTATAAGGGAACACATCTCTCAGAAGATTCACTATTCATAGCGGCGATAAGTAAAGCAGTATTACTGGGTTACCTCCCTCACTTTACTCTTCCTGTCTACACACACTGATGTGTAGGAAAGAAGCATTTTCAGAATTGTAGTGGCTTTCTACTGGCCACATATAAAGTTTGAGTTCTTAGTCCTGAATGTTCAGTTGTAGAGAACCCAATTTAGATATCTCATCCAGAGGAAATCATCCTCTAGAACTCTTTATAGAGATGGAGAGAAAGCAGGCAGGGAAGAAACCAGTCTCTGGAGACAAAAAGTCTGCCTGAGAGATAACAAAAGGCAGAAAAGAAAGAACTCTGAGCTTCCAGTGCCACCTTTGCAACAACTTAAAAAGAAAAAGATTAGTTTTGGAGGCTGAGTGCATTGAATGGAAATGGGAGGGCTAGAAAAGATAAATGTGATTCTACTTCTCTCATAAGACATCCATTAATGGCAGACAGTACAGGACTGCAGAGGAACAAGCATATCCAGTGTTTAGGGGCATATCAGTGCCCCTGAATTTCACAACTCAACGCAGCAAACATATCCATGGAATAAGTTGCACTGTTCACATTGTGTCTGTCATTAAATAACAAAACAGCACTTAGCTTTTGATTATCTCAATTTTTCCCTTGTCAAGGATGATTTCCTTAAAGATTTATAAATTGCATAATTAAATTCTGACACCTTACTTATTAAAGTTATCAGTGTCATTTATAGAACAGTTCACATTTGTAGAACATTTCAACATAGCCCATATGAACTTGAAATAGTCCAAGTCATACTCATGGGGCGTTAGATAAAATATTTTTATTTTCAGGGTATAGAAATTCCTGTTTTCTTACTTTAATCTGGAGGAACACAGGTTTTTTTTTTCTCAACATGGCAAGAGTATCCATTGTTTTTATTCCTTTTATAAGAAAACACAAATGTCTAGTATACCCTACTTGTGTAAAATGTATTATTCTGAAAACCAGCTACAAATGTAGTTATTGTCATTCTTCATGCACTTTAGAAATTCCAAAGCCATAGGTGCTGTCATATAACTTTATAAGTAGTGGCTTAAAATGTTGTTGCCTACTTCAGCAAAGTAGAAAGAACCAAACCATATATTCTGTTGAAGGCAAAACTATCAGAAGGAAAGTCTGTTTGAAAGGGCTTAAAATGAATTATTTCCCTCTTAACATCCCCTGGTGTTTAGTCTGCTGCAGAAAGAATGCTTGTTAGAAATGTGGAAAGCAGCGCCTTTGAATTAAAGGAAGCATCCAACTTGTTTTGTTTTCAAACTCCTGGCATCACTGTGTACAATCAACCTCATGTCCCCAATTCAAGAAATTTTTGTTCTTTGTGTCTGAATCCTGAGAAACTAACTTGATTGTACCTGTAGTAGGATTTAACAGTGTGTGAGAGCCAGATACTTTTGGACAAATATTTGCTGTGTGCTTCCTCAACCCACAATTAGTTTATGAAATAAGTTGATTTCTTTATCATGTTTACAACATAAAGACCTACTTTCATTTTCATTCAATACTTCCTTCCTCTTCTTTATCCAGAGATGGAAATGGGCAGTCATCTCCTGTGTATGGATCAGAACACAGAAGGCAGCCGAGGTGTCAGTCTTTCCCAGTAATCAATAAGTAAAACCCAATTCTATTCAATTTGTAAAAAGAGGCCCTGTACATACAAACATGGTCATTTTTAAAATTTATACAGGAACACACTTGAGCTAGATCAGCTAAAAACACAACTTCAAAAAAAGAAGCCTTGATGTGGAGTTACACTGCTGCATAGAAGGTGTTCTAATCAGAACACTGTAGCATTATTCTAAGAATGGAAACAAAGATGAATGCAGCAAAAGAAACTGCTAAGAAGTCAGCCTGCACAAACATAGCAAATTGATTTTTGACAAAAATGATAAATCAATTCAATAGTAAAATCAGTGGAAATGAACTATGATCAACACTTCACAGTTTATACAAAAACATGCACACTTGCACAAGTGTATACATGCACCTGCATGCCTGTTTGTGGGTGCTGTGCACACATACACAAACACACACACACACACACACACACCATAGTGAATGATTATACAATTACTAATTATTTTGAGTAAATATTCTCTTTATAAGTTATCTTTTAAGCATATTCTCTTTATAAATTATAATCTCTTTCTCTCACTCCCTATGTATGAATCATGATCTATATGAAAAGCAATAAAGTGTAAAGGTTTAGAAAAAAAATTGGAAACCTTTGCCAGTTGTTACTAGGTAGAACTTTCATACACAACCACAAAGCAAGATCCAAAGGGGGGAAAAACTTTGTTAAATTATAATTGTTAGTCTTGCTAGTAACAGTTGGCAAGATTTAAAGATAGTCCACTCCTTTGGGGAATATTTTATATTACAATGAACTCTCAAAATTAAATGACAGAATAACAAAAGGATTTGGACAATTCATTCATCATATTGCACTAGTGACCTATACTCCCTTGAAAAAGTACACATTCTAATTAGCAACAAGGGACTCGTTAGTTATTACTACATGCCCACTTTATTAAACAAAAATTTAACAGAAATAATAACATGGATATGCAATAAATTTATCTTTCACTTTTTTGAGGGTATAAAATATATAGCTATTCTGGAGAAAATGGCAAATTCTTATGAAGCTAATTTTTTTTAATGTGTCACAATATTTGCTTCCAGATTTTCCCCTCAAAGATTAATACTACTGTCACAAAAATTTGAATGTGAATATTTATAGAAATGCTCCTTCCCAAACAGGAGTAAACCTAGATGTCATGCAGGTAAATAAAAAGCTAGATGTATGTGAAATGCACATAGACAAGTTTGTGTTTGTGTTGTAAGAAGGTGACAAATGGCAGGAATGCATTCTCTTCTTTCCCTATTTTTTCTCTAAGAACTCATGTGATAGCCAGCATTTTTACCTGAGTTATCTTGCTATGCTGAAATACCATATTTTAGTGATAAATATATACTAAAACTAAATATACTAAAACATGGTTGAACTAATAAAACTAGTTTCCCCAAATAGAAAATCATTTATTCCGATTATAGTATATAGTTATAACAGAGGAGAAATCAGTAGCTGTCCAGTGTTAAAGGTTAGTAGTACTGACCAGAGAGAATAAGAAGAGATCAGGTTGATTCACAGCTCGCTTACTATATATACTGCTTATTGCATCGAACTCCAGATGCTAAAGAATTCATAGAGCTGCGTGCCCTTTCAAGTATTCATATTACAGTATACTAAGTAAAAACTAAGTTACAATAGCCGGAGCGTATCAAGCATAATCATCTGAATACAGTGTCTGCTGAGGCCATTTCTGTCTCCATAGCAAATGATTATACAATTGCACATTATTAAGTAAGTATCCTCAGTGCAGAGTGCTTCCTCATTTGTCTTTTAAAAGGATACTGAGTCAAATACTAAAATCTATGAGGAAAAGTCTATATTCATTTGAGTAGAACACAAGTGTGAGTCATAAAGATTGATTTAACAATATCAGAAAATTTAACAGCTCGAAGATAACTCACCTCAAGTCCCGGTGAATGGGCAGCGCCCATCTTAATGTGGGAAACAGATATGGCTGAACGTGAAATGCCGCCATCTTAGGAAAGAGTGCATTGTTCCAGGTGAAAAACGCCATATGAAGTTGTTTCTATTTTTGGAAATAATTTAATAACATATGGTTGTAAAGATTCAAAAGTCTGTTTACGTAAATGATCATCATTTGTTGTTTGTTGTACATGGAGAATATTGTCAAAATAATTTGCAAGTTTGACAGTAGATTCAGGATAATACTGTCTAGAATGCATGACTCAAAATTTCCAGTGTTAACTTTTGAGAATTTTAAATCCTGTTTGTAACACAGCAATATTGGATGATAATAATAATAATAGTAATAATATTAATAAAACAATAATGAAATGTATATAAAATTTTAAATTAGTCTCATATCCAGTAAAATACTTGTAGGATGAGAAAAATAAAGACCCCACCATTAGACTATAGCTTGTAGTCAATGTTTAAAAACTATCAGGATACTTGTCTTCACATACACCTCTGCAAAAGAAAGGGAGATTATGTGAGCTCTGGCAAGCTGGATTCTATAGAAAGCTTTTTACCATCATGCACACAACTTAAGTAAATGTTGCTGGAATGAAATCTGTGATTATTTTAATCACACCCTGGCGATTAAATATAAAACAATATTTTCCATGCTTCATTAGCTACTGTATCACTCACTGTGACTTAGCCTTTTAGAAGGGGATAACTTTGACAGCCCAGGGAGTCCAATCGTGTCTAAGAACCTCTTGATGTGACATAGGTGACAAGGATTGGAAAGTACTGTATTTATTAATGACCTCCCTCTTTTCTTTACCATATGGAAGACCTGTGAACCTAATTCCATCCTTCAGATCAGAGGATAAGTTCACATCACTAGTACATACTTATATCAGATCATAGGTTATACAAAAATTCAACCTTCATCGACTTATAAAAAACAATACTTGAAAATGGAAAAAAGAATTTCATAGTTTTAATGTACATGGAAAATAAAACTGATATTGGGACAAAAATAAAATAATAAAAATAGTGCCTGAGGTGACAGGTTTTATAGACTTTAATAAGAACCTTATAAAATGTAACCTCCCCACCCTGGATTTCCCACCCACTAGGGCATCCAGCCTTCATGGGACTAAGGATCTCTTCTCCCACCTATACCCGACAGGGCCATCCTCCCTGCCTTACATATACACCTGGAGCCATGGATCCCTCCCTAAGTGCTCCAAGGCTGGTGGTTTAGACCCTGGGAGCTCTGGTTGGTAGATATTGTTGCTCTCCTCATGGGGCCACAAACCCTTTCAGCTCCTACAGTCTTCACTCCTCCAATGGGAACCCCATGATCAGTTCAATGGTTAGCTGTGAGCATCCCCCTCTGTATATGTCAGGCTCTGATAGACTCCTAAGGACACAGTTGTATCAGGCTCCTGTTAGCATGCACTTCCTGGCATCCACATTAGCACCTGCCTTTGGTGATTGCACATGGGATGGATACCCAGGAGGAGCAGTCTCTGGACGGCCCCTCCTTCAGTTCCTGTCCCACACTTTGTCTCCATATTTGCTCCCTAAACTAGTGGCTAGTACAGAGTACCCAAACTTGGTACCTAACACCCGTGTCATGACTCATTAACCATCTGTAACTCTAGTTTCAGGGAACACAATGCTCTCCTTTGACTTCTATAGGTACCAGGTATGCAAATAGTGTACATACATACACTTAGGCAAAACATTCATATGCATAATGTATGTAAACACATGAGAAGGGTTCCTGTTGTAGATGTTTGCACATTTGTCCATGTAGATTTGGAATTTAGATCATTGCATTTTATCCATTTATAAGTTGTATGTCATTTACTCATTTCCTGTGCCTTACTGAACTTGGTAGGCCTTCTAGTCCAGTGCCAAAGGGGAGATGTGAAATCGAATTCTTCTTGCCTGAGAAAACCTTGGAAGCTGTCACCATTTTATATGTCTATGTATAATATATAGTATATCCATATATTATATACACATTAAGAATAGAGCATATATTTATTTCATTATTTTATTGCAACACATTGATAATTTTGTAAATGTATATTATGATACAATTACATACTTGTTAATTCATATACTCATAAGATTATTATTAATTTGATAATATATTATGTTTTATGATTGCTCAATTAATGCAGTTAAACAATTTATTTCACATTTACTGCAAATTTCTAGAGTTGATGTAGATAGTTTGACATTTTCAGAATATCCATTTATTCTATTTTGATAACATAAACTCTTGTCTCCCTACTTTCATGATTGATCTAATGTACACACCTAAGGTGCGTGTAAATGGCATAACATATTTATTTCACAAATAGGGCTTTACTCATTTTAGTCAACATGATTTAGTCTTACTGTATACATATTTTACTCTTCTCAGTAATGTGTTTTGTTTTTAACTTATGGTTTGAGCTTTATAATGATACCAGGATAAGCATATCTCAGAAAGTAGTCTATCTTGGGAATAGCTTACTGTTTATTGTTGATGATATAAATACATTTGTGAACATGATTTGCTAATGCAGTGTGCTTTGGTGAGTATTGGCGAAAAGCTAAAGAACAAATATTATCAAAGAAGAATATTATATTCTGTAAAACTTAATCAGCTTAGGTGTTTGCCTGCTTATCTGTTGTTGGTATGTTTGCTTGTGCCAAAAAGAAAGAATTTCTAAATGTTTATTGTCTCTAACAAATAACATAACCAAACCAAATAAAAAAAAGAGCAAATCACATTCAGTCCGTGTTAGTTCAGATCAATTTTGTTATGAGAAAATATATACTTTGCAGAAAGCTCATGTGTTGTAATGGTCTGGACCCATATTTTGTTCTCTTCCAAGATTTACAACTTAAGCATCAGCCAGGTACAAAATAAAATTCAAATTTTAAAGAACAGTCCTTTAAATTATTTGGAATCCCTTCTATAGCTAAGTTTAATACATGATACCGATACTTCTTAATTTCTTTTACATATTTTTTCTTTTCCATGACACTTTTTTATAGCTGGATAATATTGAATGAAATTTTAGACATCCCTGAGCACAGATAATCACAATTTTGCTGTCTACGTTAAAACTGTATACTTTTTAGAGTGAATTAGTTGTGTATTTGTAAAAAGCCAAATGACTTCTTTGCACTAACTACACAGAAAGTACACAGTCTCTTGTTTCCAAGCAACTTTAATCACTAAGTACAGACATTATCCTTAAACTTTGACACTGTGTTACTGATAAAATCATAAGCATTTATATTTGCAGTTTTTGAAGCTCTGGGATAATCAACCATACATTCTTTGTCTTGTGTTTCTTTATAGTCCCTCTATCCTTCTCTTTCATAGATATTTTTGTTTCTGTTTTTCTTTTTTCTGTATTTCTCTCGAGCTTGACCCTCTGCCTTTAACTTCCTGTTCTTGCCAAATAACTTTTTCTCTTCCTTCCTGTTGTTTTTCTACCTTCCTCTAAACAAATGTAGGTAGCAATTCACAATTATGAATGCATGTATTTAGGAACACACATTTTTATAATCCTTTATTCAAAGGGAAAATGTACTTTACAAATATCCATTAATCTCCAGAAACTGTTCTTAGGATGAGAAGAGAAAAGTTTCTTCAGTCCTTCTCATATGCCTCACAGAACAGAACAGTCAAGAAGCTTCACATAATTAATACCATTGGAAGCATAACACTTTTTACAGTGATGCTAATATCTTCTAACAATCTTCCAAATTTCATTTACTCCTTTATTTTCTTGTTAGCACACTGTACTCTTTTTATGAACTTGTAAAAAATATTTATATTTGACTCTTTCCTAGCAATAATAAAAAACTTGATACAGATTTTTCACCATCATGAATGACAAGATACATTTTATCAAGTTTGTAGAATTTCGAAGTTTGTAGATGCTCTTAGAATTAGCAAGGACTTTTATAACATTGTGACATCTATTTAGTTTGGCAATATTCATTTTAGTGGGAGTCAAAGATATATTTGGAGTGGTTAGTTTGTCATTGTGGGAGTAGAAAGAAGAAGCTTCACCTAATTCAAGTTGAGGTACATGGCCATGCTTCACTGAATCCAACTCAGGTATAGGATGATGAAAATATAGGCTACCAACTGTTTAACACAATTTGGTTAAAAATTGAATTCATATTGTTCAGCTAACCTTGCATGTGGCTTGATAAAGGTCACTGCATCTACAAAAAAAAAAAAGAAAGAATAAAGGTTACAGATTAAGAAAACTGTATATTTATATCAACTCATACTTGTATTAGACTAGGAAATTTGTAAAACATTTTCATCATTATTCAGTATATTTTCAATTTACTTTTCAATATATTTTCAATAGATTTCGGTATTTTAAAATATTTTCAATATTTTCCTGAACTCATTTTTGTTTTCTTCAGCAACACTTCACAAAGCCAAATAAATGTAATTATTACATCAAAAGCAAAAACATAAACAAATAAATTCTGTTTTAAATTAACCTTATTTATAAAGAAAGCACATATTTCACTGCAATAAGCCTTACCTTGGCCCACTTGTTCCATGGGTTACATGCTCCGCGTGTCTGATACTTGTACGCTCAATGGTTTTGTACTACCCCATTGCTGCTCCAGCGCATAGCGTGATATGAAGAAATGCAGAAAACAAGAGAAGCATTGTCACCGAGTCAGCTGCACGAAGAAGTAACGTGTGTGAATGTACAGTATAGGGGGATCTATGAAAGATCCAGTCTATTTCTCCCAAAAGACTCTGTTCCATGATACAAGGAGAATTCAGTTCTTGTTGGCAGAACTCCATGTCAGTTTGGAAGCAGTAAAAACGACAAGGCTAGCTTTTCAATGTCTTTACTCTTAATACTTAAGTAACTTTTAAGGATTTTTATTTTGCCCTGTTTAAAGCCCCAGAAAGTAATACCCACTTCAATTAGGTGGCTTGATAGTAGTTTTTATAGTTAGAATGTAGTTTAGAATGTATTAAAAGTGAATCCAGTCATTTATGACTCGCGTGTATCTGTCCATTCCTAGTAAATTTAGAGGAAAGGCCTTCTATCTTTTAATGGAGTAGATGACTTTACATGATATTACATGAGGAAGGGCATAGAATCCCAGCAGATGATGCAATTATGTATAAAAATGAGTGTTTTTAAATAATGCACACTTTTAATATGAAGAAATTAAGTCATTTTTCCCACTCCTCCCACAAATTCAATCTTAATATCTGTGTAAAGGAACAACACTGATAGCGTTATCCATCCGGGTACTAATGGATAATGCCAGTTTTGACAGGTTCATTGTTTACTTTAACAGGTAATTTGTGGACCGGAATCATTTAATTGTTCTGAGAACATAATTACATGTCAGCAATTTCCAATTTAATTAAAATGTACAAATCTGAAGATTAAGAGAATTTTTGAATTATTAATCATTTTTCCACTAGGAAATCTTGTTGCTCTGCAGGAGATTTGTCCAGTGTACAACTATACGTATTTTTTTTCCTTCTCTTTCACAGACAGACAATTTTCCCGCAGAGCCCAATTACATGGGCAGCAGGCAGCAGTTTGTTCAAAGGTAAGGCCTATTAAATAACTTTCTCGGCTTCCCCATTTGCATTCGTGTCAAAATTGCTTTGCAAGAGACTACACTCCAGGTTTAAACTGGTAGAGACAACACTCTCTCCTCTTTTTCTTCATATGTATTTCAGTAGCTCCACGTTTAAGGACCCAGAAAGAGCCAGCCTGAGAGACAGTGGGCACGGGGACAGCGATCAGGCGGACAGTGACCAAGACACTAACAAAGGCTCCTGCTGTGACATGTCTGTTAGGGAGGCACTCAAGATGAAAACTACTTCAACTAAAAGTCAACCACTTGAACAAGGTGAGTGATGTCCTCCAGTGCTTACTGAGTGGAAAGTCATATACATAAGTCTATCAGGACTGCCAATGCTGTTTGCACAGTGGAATAGACCACTGATAACATATCAGAGAAAGTGCAATGCCCGTGATGATCCCAGACAACAAAATCATTTCTATATTACGCTCATAATTTATAGTGACCTTGAAGCTTCTTAATATAGGAACTTGATTCTACTCACTAGGTTCTGATTTTATGGAAAGTTTCCTAGCCTTACCTAATTTGGGTTTGACTAACAAGGAAAATTTGGCATGTACCAGCTTCATATTTAAGAACATTATGCTATCATTTATATTATAACATTTGGAAAACAATTTTAGATGAAAAACTTGATACAGATTTTATATTTCTTATCCATGTTGGTTTATTTTTAGCTTTGATTGTAGTGTCAAAATAGATTATTTTTACATATGCTATAATCGCTAAGACAGATTCAGCTGCTCTGGATTTGCATCTGTGTGTTCTTGTAGATGCCAAATAATTATGAACTTCTTTACAGTCATACATTAAAAAGAAATATAAGGTACTGTGCATGGATTACTCTTGTTAAAGTTTATTTTCAGTACATTTGTTATAACTTCATATTAATTTTGATGTTTTAATTATTTCAATCACTGTGAGATATTCACTAATGATTTTTTCAGAGACAACTAAGATTCTTTCCAGTGTAACATAATGAAGAGATTTTAATGCTGTTTTATATAAAATAAAAAGAAATTTCACATCAATCAAAATTTATTAATAAAGATTTGCTAATTAGATTGCTTAAATATTAGTCTTCAGGATATCAACAGTATTTATGTATGTGTAAGGTATACTCCTGTATATTTCTTCCGATGAAAGATCACATTTAAAGTAAGGGCATGCAGCTTCTTGCTCAGTTAGTGATGATTCTAAAATACATTTTGCTGCTTTGGAGTGTATGGCCTTAGGGAGTTTTCAAATCATATTGAAACTTCACTAAAACATGCATCCACCTACATGTCAAAATGTTTATGTCTGTATATTTAGATATATTGCAAACAAAAGGAACTTTATATTCATCATAGAACAATAAATGTATGTTCACATTAAAATTTATATTTAAGGATGAACTTACATAAATCCTTATTTGTATAATAGGGTTTAGACAAATAACTCTTTCTATATTTTACCATAAGAGCCTTCTGGGTAGTGAGACAACTCTGTTTTAAAACCTATTGTCAACAGAAACAAATGGAATACTTTTCTAGTATGCACACTTCCTATAGCCTTGGATCATTACTTGAAGAGACTTAAAACGGTCATGGGGAAGTGTTGCTCTATGATTTATACAAGCCTTTTAGGCACATTTTACTACTGGATCTCTTTATATGAATACACAGCACAAAACTGGCCCATTTACGGGGGTTTGATAGTTAAGGAGACCAAGGTAATACACGGAATATAGTTTATAATGTAATATACAGTCAGCAAAGTTTGTATATGATGTGTTGTGACATCTTTACAGTTTAATTTTTAGATAATAAATCACAGCAAAAAAATCTAAAAGCTTCTCTAAACATTAACTACAATACTACAACTCCTGTCTATCTGTTAAGCTGTAGCAGTAGTGTATTCTCCTGTAGAAAAAGAAATGTCTAGCTAATAATGTTTGAAAATATAAATTATAGTATAACACTATCTTGAATTTCTATATCATATAAAAGATACTGAACCAGGAAAGTGACTATCTTTCTTAAAATGTCAAAGTTATTCTATATTTCAGTTAATATTACTCATGAAATAATTGCTAACAGAAAGACTAGTTTCCCAATAGGAATGCCTCTTACAAAGTAAATAATTTATACACATTAGTGTGAAATAAACAGGAAGGTTCTTATGACGCTGGAAAGCAGACTAAGGGGAAATGTGGTTTGTACCAGAAAGAATATGGACTTCAATTTTTTAAAATGAATATTAGCTACAGCATTTTCTTTACTTGTGGATCCATTAATTTCATTTATTGATTACTTTTGTAATACTTATTTTAATATATAAGGAATGATAAATGCTTTAGAGACATCAAATTGAATTGGACCTGAGTGGTTCCTTTAAATAACCATAGGTAATTAGTATAGTTGACATTTTTCTCTTTTTCTCATCTCTCTCATCTCTATCTGTGTGTCTGCTTTTCTTCTGTATATATATGTCGGTTTTCCTTTCTGGCTATCTAGAATCACAGAAGACAAGTAGAATTTGCTAGGTTCTTACTACTAAGTAAAAGAAAAGAAACTTTATTAGAATACTATTCAATCTAACTTGAGATATCTAAAAATGTCTCCTTTTATTTGACATGAGAAAGTAAAGGTTATTACAATATGTTAAATTTTTAACAGACTGAAGTTTAATAGTAGAAATATACATGAGCAAAATGCGCATTTTCTATAGATTTTGTCTCTAAGTGGGAGGATTTGTTCCTGTGGCCATTTCAATTCATGTTGATTGCTGTGATGAAATATCAAGACACCATTCATGAGTAAGTCAATACCCGAGTTGATGTTTGCCAAGCTAGAGAAAAAAATTGAAGTACCTGGTCTGTACCAATCGAGCACGAAGCACTCACTGTACTTAGCTAAGTATTCTTCATTTAATCCTGTGCATTTAATTTTTAAAGCATTTACAAATAGGTAGGCGTCATCACTCTCACATTTAATGGAGGTTTGTACTTCCAATGCATGCCAGTCATAAATAGTGAAAGCAGTACCTGAAATAAACTAGTATAGAACTAAGCAACATCCAAAATAGGCTTTCAGAGCCTGCTGTTCAGTCCGTGCTTTATACAGTGTACGTGATGAGCAGTTTATTCAGAAGACATTGGAAATACTGAGCATGTATATAGCTAACTTTGGTCAATGTATACTGATACTTTGTATGAGTAGTGGCATAATAGGCAGTACCACACATATGAGTGAATATGTGTAGAAGACAATTTCGTTACTGCTGATGATAGCCACGAACAAATAATGATACCATGTAGAGTTTAAGTACAAAATCCTAATTTGTAGTACACCTAACAATTTCCAAAGAAAACAAGAATAGAAATGAAATAAAAAGAATTTATTTGTCTATTTGTCTTATAAAATTTATGATAATACTTCATGTGATATTAGTTAAAAAAAAATCAGCACCATACTGCATTTTATATTTTTGTGTCATTTCCTTTGGATTATTTTCCTGTTTAAATGATGTCTCTCTACAAAAGTAAGATGCTTGTTCAATTATAGTATCTCAAATTCATAAGCAAATAGCAATTCCAAAAGCATTCTTCATACTTCCAATAGTAATGTTCTTTTTTTTTTTTTTTTGAGAAAACACAAACGCCTTGAAATTTTGTTTTTGGTTTAAATGCCATTTTTTCCCCACATTGGTGATGTTAATTTTTTCATCCATTTGTTCTGCTTCTGGTAGTTCTGCAGTTTTGCTTTTGTCAGCTTAATAATACCAAATAGAGAGCACTAGTATGCATTGCCCATTATTTTAGCAAAGAATACTTGAAAGGATTCAGCAGCTAATTGAAGGTGTGATATACTGTACTGAAGCTGAAGATAGCTTTAAGGATTTTATGTTAATAAAACCTCTAGGAGAAATAAGCTATTTTAGTTTCTTTTACTGTATTGAAAAAAATCCTAAAGACTGTACTTAAGTTCATTTTGTTTTGGCTGCATTTTGTACCCTCTTTCTGAATTGGTTAAATATATTTTCAACATGCTCCTTTTAACTTTAGCCAATAATTCAGGTCCATAGCTGAATGGATGTATAAGGAGATGACAGACAGATGAGTAATTAGAAAGCCATACAAACCAAGCCTGCATAAATTTAACAGCATGTGTATTTTGTAAGAAATGTAAATATTTTTGTAATATTCAATAAACCATTTTATGAAGAATGGTCAGAACTTGATCAAAACACATTTTGATTCATTTTTACTTTCATTGATTAATATTTTAGAAAAATAATTACTTACATCAAAAGTGAACAAAATACAATTCTTTTTATTTTATTTCTTATATAAAGAAAAACACATGGTTTTATTACGGAAAAAGCTCTCTTAAGAGCTTTTGAAGCTAACTTAGATTTATGGTTCAGCATATAATTCACACTTCAACTTCTTTATGCAAGTCTTTTATCTTTGGGTTTCTTTTCAGTAGAAATCCTATAATTGACTTTAATGTTAACAATAAGTTTATCATCCCAAATGATTTATAAATATTATTACCTAAAAGTGTCATTTGGTTCAATTTCTAAATAGTAAATGGATGCACTAATATATGCAATAGTAAATAGTAAGCACTTGCCAGCCACCTGCCTGCCTGATGCAAGGTTTTTTTCCAGTGATAAAGACTACTCATGATTTCTCCATGATTTCCTGAAGTCAACTCAGTAGAAGCCAATAGAATACAATTTTAAGTTGGAATCTTCCTGGCAGCCTCCAGCAGAGGTGGCAGGGTCCAGTCATGTGATCTAAGGCCTGTGGTGGGAGTAGTCCACTCTTGTCTGCTGGGTTTCTGGTAACTTTGTATTTATTTTATGGGTACCCAGTTTGGTGGAGAGTGGTCTTCATCCTTTTAAATCATCTACCCTAATTTTCTTAATAGGACTGAATTTCGACTGTAGTTTTAGTCATACTTGGGAAAAAGAGTCTAAGAATCCGTTGACAACTTGTCCATTGTCATAGAGGACTAGTGAGAGAGGTAGAAGTAGAAATAAGAGGCGGAGTTAAGGCTTTTGCTCACCTAGGCAACTGCAGTGTCCACAATCACATTTAGGTAGATTATTGAACCATAGGATTAGGAGTGGAACATGCACTTGACCTACTTAAAAATTCCCTGTAACTGGAACTGCAGTCAGTCCAGCACTTCTGCTGTTCTGCTCTGTTAAAATTTCTGTAGTCCAACTCACAACAAAACCCCTTACTCTTCCCAAATCTTCCCATGGGGGCAGAA